AAATTCCCCAGTACAGAAACCAAATAAACACTTCAAATCCCGTTTACGTTTTAATGCATCCAGTGGATCAATGATGGTAGACAGTCTAAAACTCGGTGACCAAGGAGTTTATACCATCACGGTGAATGGTAACTGGAAGAGGAGCATGGATCTGAAACTCATTGGTGAGCGATTTCAATACTTTATCACTTTGAAAATGACGTACATTTCAAATCGTGAAACAGTTTACAGCTTAAGAACTCTGTCGCTGAATTGGGACGGGAATAAGCCATTCAGCCCCACTAATCTAATCTACCATTCCATGGTTGATCTGTACCTGGTTTCCATTGACCTGCTTCGTGCCTTTCTGCCAGCTCCATGACCCAGCAGGAAACCTATTGATCTCGTCTGGAAAATTTCAATTGACCCCAGCAGTCAATTCCACGATTCTTCCTATGGTGGTATTGGGAGGGGCGAATAGTTAAATGATTTGTGTGTAAAATGGTCCAGCTCTCGTTTTTAAGATTATTCCATCTTGTTCTGGGTTGTTCCATCAAGCAAACGTATACTGCTTGTCTTCATTCAAGATTAAACTAAAACTACTGATCAAGATGGAAGAAAGAAATGACAGAAATTGACCTTCAGCTTCTGTTGTCGTGCTGTATCTGTCATTCCGTCATTGTGGAATTCCTTGGGAATTGTGACCTATGATCTGTTGCCCTACTGGTCACCATAGTCCTGGAGGCTGCTCTCTCATTGAGACAGAGATGAGTTTTACCTGAGGGTCACCACAAGGTTGAAAATGTGGGATCTTCACGGTGACCTTAGCTAAGTATGAGAATTGAACCCACACCCATTGGCATTGCTCTGCATTACAGACCTGTATTGGTAGGGAGTTAGTTAGCTCAGTTGGCTGGGCAGCTGTTTTGAGTGCAGAGTGTGCTAACAGTCTGAGTTCATTATGAAGGCCCCATGTTCTTGACCTCATCCCTCTCTGTGGCGTGGCGATCCTCAGATTAAACCACTACCAGTCCATGACTCATGCACTGGAATGCATCAGACATCATTCTTCATCGAAGTAATATTCTATGTTGTGATTTTTTTTTATTAGTCATCTGGCTTGTAAGAATACCAGTGTCAGCACTCTTCAGAATGTAAACCATCCCAGCAGTACGGATCCCAATTTTCCCGGAATTAGCCGGCACTTTTCCCGAACTGTTCTTTGAACCACACATTCACCTGTCTAATCTTATCCATCCTGTTGCCAATTTGCACGTGGCTCAGGCAGTAATCCAGAGATTATTACTTTTAAGATTCTGCTTTTTAAATTGGCATTTAGTGTCTCACATTATCTCATCAGAACCTGTTTCCTGACTCTGGTGCACGTCGGTACTAACAATACTGGATCCTTCCCACCTCACTGCAAATTCTCCCGCCTAGAGCGTCCCGAATCCTGGCACTGGACGGACAACACGGTGATTCGGACTTGCTGAGGCGGACAGTGTCCGTCCCCCCTCACTAAACTGTCCCCTATATCACTACACTCCTTATACCACCCCCTCGACTTGAATGGCTCCCTGCAGCATGGTGCCGTGGCCAGTGAGCACATTCACTCTGCAGCCTTAACTCTCATCCTCAAACCTGTGGGGCCATTATAAAGGCTGAGGGTCCTGTGCTGCTACCCCCTGGGACCCCCTTTACCTGCCTCACTTGTTCCTGACCACTGACCGAATCAGGCCATCCCATCGTTTGGCGTGTGACTACCTCCTGAAATAAAGTGTCCAGGTAACATTCCCCTCCACCTTGATGTACTCCAATGTCTGCAACTTGATGTCCAGCTCGATATCTCTGATCTGAAGTCCCTGTAAACCCCAAGCCCTTACTGCGGATATGTTTCCCCTGGGAGACACTGGAATCCAGAAACCCCCACAGGGTGTAACTGCGGCTCATTGCCTGCCCTCTCTCCTTTGTGTTCATTAATTAGTAATTGCTAATTTGTTCATTTATAACTAATACAGCCTCTGCCTCCCTCAGCGCTGCCATTAAACAGACACTTGAAGGGAATGGGTGAAGAAAGAGGAGGTGGATAGTATTAGGATTGAGGTTAACCATTCACCCATTTTGGGGATTTCAGACCGAGATGTTCGCAAGTGACGTTGGTGTAATATATCTTGAAAATGTTCCCGATGAGTTAAGTACAAAGTGCAATTGGGCTAAGAAAAAGAGGTTGGAACTCTGTCAATGCCTCAGGAGAAGCTGCAAAAAGCGAAAAACCCTCGTGTATGGTGTTAATATCACAGTCCGCCTAATGTTCTAAGGATATGGGTTCAAACCCCACCATGGTAAATGATGAATCTTTGTCCTGCTTGTAAAAGCATGAGAGGGCATCCATTCAAAGTGATGTGCAAAAGAAGCACAACAGTGATGTGAGGAGGAAAAAAAAACTTTGGGTGAAAGGGCAGGAGACTGGCAAGGGGAATGTTAGTTGAGAGTGGAGCGAGAGAAAGCGATGTCTGCAGCTTGCCATCCAGCCGAGCCGAACCAAGGGGAAAGTGGGCAGTGTTACAGAGGTGGAGGTGTAGATAGCCTTTGTGATAGGATCAGAGGTTCATCTCTACTCCAAAGCCAACTGAGCTATATGTGAAAGACAGAGCAGTTATTAAGCATACTAGCAGACTGCGAAGTAATAATACTGTAATAATACTTGTTTCTTTTACCTCTTCAGAACCACTGTCAGAACCTTCGATTGTCAATAATAGTACCTGTGTGGATACTGCCATTCAACTCATTTGCCAGGTCTCTGGGGGGAAAGAGAGCTCTATTCTGTGGTGGAAAGACAACAAGATGTTAACGAGTAGTCAATATTATCAGTTAGTGCAAAACAACAGCACATTGATTATTTCTGAAGCACAAGTATCAGACTGCGGGACCTATATTTGTACTGTAGAAAACCCTGTTAGCCAGAAGAATACGTCATATTCTCTCACGCTTCGTGGTGAGTCATGCCACTTGTTGACTTATCTTTTTTTTTCAAAGTAATATTTTGCTGATCTCGTTTCCCTTCAATTTTTAGCTTTGTGTATTTTCACCTTCACCTTTGAACTAGGAGAATATTTTACCAGAAAAGATGGTTGATGAGCATGGCAGATGTTTAAGAAAATAGTTTGTGATGGGTCCATGAGGAAGAAGCATTCTGGAAAGGGGAAAAACCATGGTTAACCAGTGAAGTTAAGGATTGTATCAAATTAAAAACAAAAACATTCATTGTGGCAAAGATTAGTGGTAAACCAGAGGTTGGGGAGAGTTTTAAAAGCCAACAGAAGGTGATCAAAAAGAATGGAGAAAATAAACTATAAGGATAAGCTACAAAATAATATAAAAACACACAGCAAGAGCTTCTTTAGTTATCTAAAAAGGAAGAGAGAGGGCAGAATGAGCATGGTGGCCTTAGAAAACAAAGCAGGAGAAACCAATAAATGACAGAATCAAATAAATACTTTGCATCTGTCTTCATGGTGGAGGATATTAATGACAATTACTTCCAAAAATAATCATGGGCTAAATTTGGTGGTCTGGGGGGGAAGAAATGAAAATAGTAATTATCACTAGAGAGAGCAGACTAGGAAAATTAATGGCACTAATAACCAATAAATCTACTGAACCAAATGGTTTGCATGCAAAGATGCTAAAGGAATAGTGGATACCCTGGTAGGAATCTTCCAATAATCCTAAGATAATGGAAAAATTCAAGGAGTTTGGAAAACTATCAATGTATCACTTTATTCAAAAAGAGAGAGAGTAAAAACAGGTAACTTTAGGCCAGTTAGCTTAATATCTATCATGGAAAATTTTAGTGACTATTACAAAGGATTTAATGGAGTCTTTATTAATGTACAATATAATCAAGTAGAGTCTGTATAGCTTCATAAAAGGGTAAGTCACCACAGTGCCAGAGGACTCATGAGAGAGAGATGACAGGTTGTGGTTTAACATGAGGGTCACCACAGACAAGGAGCAAGATTCAGAAGGCAGGATCTTCATGGTAATCTCAGCCAGTTCAAGAATTGGACCTACACTTGGCATTACCAAACCAGCCTGTCTAGCCAACTGAGCTAACCTGATGTGGGAAGTGTGAAATACCAAATGAAAGTCCTTTGATTTACTTTTCTGATTGTGGAATCTCTGTTCAATTTTGTGACAGTGTGGAACATAATTTGCACTGCATCTGAAGTATATGATACCAGCGTTAAATATGTGAAGCAAGTGCAGTTTTATAATCTATCACATAATGCCTTGAATAAGAGCAATTATATTGAAAAATGTACCCATTGGGAATTTGTAATCTGGTGTGAAAGTGCAGGAGGGAATGGTGAGGGATTTCGGAAGATTTTAGGTAGAAGGTATTTGCTTTCCTGAGTGGTTTTGGAATAGTGAGATGAGAGCATATCCTAATGGTACCGTGTGTGGTCCAGGCAGATCTAGTGGTGAATAGGAAAGTCCCAATTATCCACCACATCTGATCAAGTCTGTGTCCCATTGATTTACAAAGGAGTGTAAATGCTTGTCCTTCCAAATCTAATCACCTTCGAGCGTTTGCGATGAAGTTGCACCAGTCTTTCATCCCACTTGATTGTTTCTGTCCTCCAGAAGTCTATACTACTTTGGCTTGCTATTTACTCACGTCAGCCTAGTTTTGTGCCAACAGCAAATGTCTATATTGTGCTCCTAACGCCAATTCAAACCACCCATTTACAGCTCGGAGCCAGTGCCAAACAAAGCCAGTTGCCTTAAGTGCTTAGTTTCCTGTCAACTATCTAATTTTGTACTTACTCATATTAGGAGGAGTAATCTTCAACGGCAGGATTTGAGGAAGGGAAATGAACGAGAAGCAAAAAGATTTCAGGGCGCAACTCCAGAGCATGGGGGTGTGCATATGGCTGAAAGTACCTTGGAAGGAAAACACAGTGAGAGGTTTGAAAAGCGGGATGACAATGTTACATTGAAGACATTGTAGGATGTTCAGCAATGTAAATCAGTGAGGACAAGGGTGGTAGGGCAGAGGAAGTTGGCAAAGGATCGCATGCAACTGACAGATTTTCAGATGGGCCGACCTTTAGAATGGACAGACAGTGGCAGATGGGTGAGGAAAAGGTGGTGTAGGCAGGGTTGTTGAATATTTTTAAGAGGGAAGTAGATGGATTCCGGTTAGGCAGGAGAATTAAAGGTTATCGCGCGTGGATGGCAATGTGGAATTTGGAACACAAACAGATCAACCATGATCTTATTGAACAGCAGAGCAGGTTCAAAGGGCTGAATGGCCCACTCCTGCTCGTAATTCCAATGCTTGTACCTATAAGGTTTGGAATAGTCGAACCTGGAAGTGAGGGGGGTTAAAAGGTCAGTATTTGAGTTGGGCTGAAGTCAGGGCGAGGTGGAGAGCAAATGAAGGCAGTATGTATGATAGGATTGCGGGGTTGGGACTTTGAACCTATTTTCAGGAATGTGATATGTTTAAAGACAATGCGGGAGATTGGCACAGCGGCTCAGTACATTACATAATATCATTACAATAGCATAATGTGAAGCAATAATGTTGTCTACTTCTCAGACCTGTTTAGTGATGTTCAGAACCACTTGCTCACATTAATGTTGCCTGTAACTGATAACTAGCTTGTCTGGTGTTTGTCTTGTATACGTGCAGCAGGAAGTGTACTTTTTTAAAAACTCAGAAGAGATTGTTTACTATCTTTAAAAGGTGGAAGAAGTTCCTGTTTGTATTTTTAAAATCTGATGTGGCTCACACGATGACTTTCTTGTAAAATTTCTACTTCAGGCCTGACACATCTGCACCGTAGCATTTTGGCATTTTCTGTTGCGGCATTGGTCACTGCCGGTGTCATACTGATCACTGCTGTTGCAACCCGTTTGGATAAAATCTTGTATGTGAGCAAGGACGGTAAAACATGTAAGTGAAAATTGTTTTTGCTGAAGGTTCAAAACTTAGAACTTAATTTTGCAGATCCTGCAAAACTTTGAAAAATGATGCCCATGTCATGTTAAATATTGAGCCTCAATTCTCGGAATCAACCCTTTGATTGCATGAACGTTCTCTGCTCGAGTATTGTTGATATCAATTTGCGTATTTTCCCAGGGCTCCTGTTTATTCGAGAGAAGACGCGGCATTTGTTGAAGTTTGCACCAGTGTTTTCGCTCCTTTTCTTTTCCATTGCATGCGTATGTTGGATACTGACTGAAGGTAGCGTATGTTCACTCACTGTTACTTTTCTCATTTCTTAGTAACTGCATTTCCAGTATTCTTCAGAAATGCTGGACTGGGTGTTAGGGGACACAGTGGTCACCAGATAAAAGTTAGGCAGTGCTTGGTGAGGGAAGTTGGGAAAATCTACCTACAATATCGCTGGCTGTTCCTCAGGAAGCAGCATTAATGGCCTTGAGGAGAGACTTCTGCTCTTATCGCAGAGAGCAGCTGTCCAATTCAGTCGCTGGCAGCTCCACTCCAGAATGCAGCCCAAACTCCAGGCAGTCCACAAAGAAGAGGAGCCCAAGGATTCGGGATTGATGGGTAACTCCGGGGTATTGCCAGGGCAGACCCCAGTGAGGGAGGTCAGGGTGGTGGGGGGATGATTTGCGAGGCTGGGGTGAGGGCAAAAGGAACTTTCAGGAGCAGAATTCCTCCCGAAAAGGTAGTCTGCCTGTGTCCCGCCCTCACAACTAAAGCTACAGGGCTACCTGCTGAGCAAGGGCCTTCCCTTGTTGTGGGTAAAACAAAAATGGCAGCGATGGGCTGAGGACCACAGACCAGCTGCCAGGGGGAAGGAGGGCCGTCTGATGCCCGATAGGGATTAGATAACAGAAAAGACACCAAGCTGGCGTCAAAGCAGAAAACAGAAGTGGATCGGAAGCCGGCATGGTGGCACAGAAGTTAGCACTGGACGGGTTCGATTCCCGCCTCAGGTGACTGTCTGTGTAGAGTTTGCACGTTGTCCCAGTGTCTGCGTGGGTTTCCTCCGGGTGCTCCGGTTTCCTCCCACAGTCGAAAGCTGTGTGGGTTGGGGTGGATTGGCCATGCTAAATTACCCATAGTGCCCAGGGCTGTGCAGGCCAAATGGTTTAGCCGTGGGAAATGTGCGCTTAAGGGGATAGGGTGGGGGTACTGAATGGGTTGGTCTTCGGAGGGTCGGTGCAGACGCAGTGGGCTGAATGTCATCTTGCCACGCTGTAGGGATTCGATGATTCTAAGAACAGTGACAAGGTCTAGCTGAGAGTGAAAAATAATGGAGGGCCATTTTCTGACAGCACTGCACCCCATCAAATTGACTGCCAGCCATGAGAGTGTGGTTTGTGGACGGGATGGGGTGCCTTAGTAATTGTCTTCCATATTTGTAGATAATATTGAGAGCTGCGACTTCTCTAAAGATGCTTCTTGCATTTTTAAATGCACCTTCGCAATACCAGGTGGTTCCCAGCTCATGCATTATTTTTTTCTTTGCTTGAAGTACAGTCTGGATCCGAGCAGCATGCGATCACCAGCATTACTGAAAGATAAGCAACTTACTGTCGCTGCCTTTGAAATTTGGCATTCTTGCATGTGTCCTGATGAGTGCAGAATGAAATGGCTCAATGGCATGTCCCTTTTCTTTTAATTCAGGCCAGCATTTATTGCCCATCCCTAATTGCCCAGAGGGCAGTTAAGAATTAATCACATTGCTGTGGGTCTGGAGTCACATGTATGCCAGACCAGGTAAGGATGGCAGTTTCCTTCCCTAAAGGGCATTAGTGAACCAGTTGTTTTTTTTTACAACAATTCGTCTCTTACTTCCAGATATTTGTTGAATTTAGATTCCACCATCTGTCACAGTGCGATTCGAGCTCTGGACCCAGAACATTACCTGGGTCTCTGTATTAACAGTCCAGCAATAATAGGACTACACCATTGTCTCCCCTGTTTCTTAGTAACGTTCAAGTTCTGTGCTACCAAGTAACTATCTGGTCTTCCTACGAAACGGGGTCCTTTTACCTTTAACTGAGATGGAGTAAGGAACCTTGACTCTACACCTCATTCTAAAGAGAGCCCCTTCATTTGTGAAATGCTGTCTCAATGCTGCGCTGAATTGGGACCTTAGATTATTTGCTCGCCTCTCTGAAACGGAACGTCGGTCTCAGATCCTCGCTCTTTGGGTTACTGTTTCTGCTAAATACCAGGCAGACTGTACCATACATCCATGAGGGAGGCTGCCTGAATTTCCGTCCATTAACTGAAATAGATGGAGAATGGAATGGATTCTCACAGGACTGTGCCCTGACCCATCCAGCTTTCCTGGACTCAGAACACCTGAGCGATCCAGCAAGAGGAAGTCTTCCCTGTACATTTCTTCACCAATTTGCATTCCCCAGCGGCACAGCTGGAGGCAGACAGATCAGGATTTGTGTGTGTGTGTGTGTATAATTTTCGATGTTGCTCTCTGACTCCTTCTGTTTTATTTGTTCACAGTTTGCCTAGACATGCCCCATACGCTGACTTCACTGAGTCAATTCATTGCAAATACAATCCCAATTGTGCATATAATAGGACATGCTGGTAAGTGTTCAATTGTAAAGTCATAGCCCAGAAACGGTTTCTGAAAGCAGCAACCCACAAAGTATCTTGTAATCGGAAGAGCCGATCACAGCCATAGGTTATATAACCTGCCGCTGAATGAAGAGAGAAAGGGATCATCAGGAAATCCTCTACTTTGAGAATTGTTTGAGCACGGATTGCTCTGTCATAGGGATTTTTAAAAACAACATTTACATTCAGAAGATATGAGTGTTGCTGCCAGCATTTATTTCCCATGAGAAGGTTGTATTGAGTTACCTTTTTGAAACTACCACATTCCATTTAGGAGAATGATATCATCCTCTTCTTCTTAAGGCAGGGACCATTGCGTCTTTTCAAGGAGAGAACAGAGCCTTGTGATTAGGCTTAGGATTACTCTCGCAACATACCCTCACAAACCCAATGGGCCAAGTGACTTCCTTCTCCTCTTTCAAAACTTGAAGTCAAGTTAAACAGCCACTGATTGGGCACTGTAACAGAAACACAAACTAACAGTGAAAGGGAACTTAGAATGGACGAACTTGAAGCTTAGTAAATCAATATACCGTGTCAGGGGTCAGCCCACCATGGAGGCCCCTGGTCTCGAAAGGCTCCACATGCTCCCTCTTCATGGACAATTGAGCATGGACATGTAAACAGCAAAATGGGGGCAGTCAGTCCAGTATAGTGATCTCCATAGCCCACTGCCTGGACTGGGTCCATACTTACACTTTGATCTTTGACCTTCCAATCTCCCCACAGTCTACTTACATGGGGTGCCTGTGGATCAGGAGCGTGGTGCCAAACTCAGGGGCAGCCCCTTCCAAAAAACTTAGGAGGGGTTTCAAGCGAGAACATTCAACAGAAATGTGGAAAACCATTTCACCCCAGGCCACAAAAACTACATGTGGCCTGGCAGTCCTGTATTTATTAGTGACTGTATCCTTTCCTGCAAAAATATATGGGTCTGTAAGTTAAGAATTGCCCGAAGGTACATCCAGTTTTCATATTTATCCCTTTATTAACCTATGACTGTGTAATTTTGTTCATTTTTTGTGATCTTTTAATAGGGCCTTCTGGAATCAATGTTGTTCTGTCAATGTCTTGGCTCCTCCATCTCACAGTAGTACTTTCAAATTGTCGTTTCATCTGTGACAAACCCATGTTAAACAAGATTATCTCGAACAAGTGTAAGTTGACAATTGTTGTTAATCTCACTCTTATCCAAACCTTTCCCAATGTTAACAGCCTTAATTAAATTTTCGCTGGCAACCTCCGCTCCAGTTAGACAGTCCCATTAATTTTAGCCCACTATATTATATCCTCATTACAGGAAAGATGTGGAAGCTTTAGAGAGGGTGCAGAGGAGATTTACCAGGATGCTGCCTGGACTGGAGGGCAGGTTTTATGAGAAAAGGTTGAGGGAGCTAGGGCTTTTTTCATTGGAGCGAAGAAAGTTGGAGAGGTGACTTGATCGAGGTGTACAAGATGATGAGAGGCATAGATATAGTGGATAGCCAGAGACTTTTCCCAGGGTGAAAATTACTATTACGAGGGGGCATAATTTTAAGGTGATTGGAGGAAGGTATAGGGGAGATGTCAGAGGTAAGTTCTTCACACAGAGAGTGGTGGGTGCGTGGAATGCGCTGCAGGCGGTGGTAGTGGAGTCAGATACTTTAGAGACTTTTAAGCGACTCTTGGATAGGCACATGGAGGATAGTAAAATGTAGGGTATGCAGGGTAGATTGATTTTAGTAGGATAATAGGTTGGCACAACATCGTGGGCCGAAGGGCCTGTACTGTGCTGTTCTATGTTTCTATGTTACAATATAGAATGGTGACTTGAATGCTTCTCCTTTGAGACGTATCATCATTATGCAGCTGGCTGCTGTCCCTCCCAAAGTCAGTAGACATGTTGGTGGCCGTGTCTCCAAGCAGATCATTTTAGTCACGGCATGACTGAGGCAGTGAGCTGTCACAAACTTTATTTTTGGCTTTCCACCCATTTTCAAGCTACCATTGTTTCACTTGTGAGCGAAATGGGGCAGGATAGCTGCAGTTCATGCTGTCATCGCTCATTTTACATTAAGGTTGTGTTACAACAGAGGAAATGGCCGAACCGCTCTGATAATTAAATTAAAACCCACGCCCCAATCTGTTATGATAGGAGTAGGGGCTCGCCTCTAATAAGCGCCCCCCGAAACCCCCAGAGAAGCTCGCCTTTCCCCTCGTAATCTATTAAAAGTGTGGTTAAAAGAAAGAAAATCCCTGATCTCCACTTTACAAGTAACAAGAAACAATTTATTTCCCAACAATGAACAAATTAACAAAATTACTAACAAACTGACAATTCCCTCTCAGACTACTAACTACTCCCTAACTGGTCTACATTCTACTGGAATGCTGTTTAAATAAAGACAAGTCCCACTAAAAGAAACCCAATGTATAGGAAGCAATAAATTCTAACTTAATTTCCCCAATTTCACACAGACTGTCTTCTGGAATATTCTGTCTTCTCTGGTCTCTTCACAAACACTTTTCTTCCACTAATTCTGCTGTTAGGGATGTTTCATCTCTATAATTTAGTTAATGAGGACTTTGAGCTAAAATACTATGGTATCCTTGATTAATTAGTCGGGCTTTCGCTGAGCGCTGAATGGTGCTAACTCTGGCAGTTGGCCGATGGCTCCCTCTTTCAGCTGGCAGTTAGCTCTCCCCAATTTTCCAAATGCCCTTGTCTAATATATCTGTAATGACATAATCAAATTCTTATAATATGATTGGTTTCAGGTTGTCAACACCATCAGATTTAAATTCAATTGGCTTTCTGTATCTAGGTGCTTCTTTCAAATTAATTGGCCAAATTCAAACTTGTTGTCTTGGAAGAAATGCTGCTTGGCTGTTCTAAACAAAATGTTTCCATTTGGGCACTCTCTGTGCACACGTTTTTCTAAACTTCCAAGCACAAGACAAAGCACTAGCTCTTAAAGGGGCCATGACACTCTTTTCTTCACAATCATTTTTACCAACAAATTCTAACTTCCGAACTTCCAATTCATGAATACTCTACCCAACTTTGTCACAGTTGGGACTAGCCAACATGCAGGAGCGGCAAGCCGGGAATGTAAATCCGCCAGAGTGTCTCCGAAAAGTTCAGGAAGCCCTTCCTGTCATTAGTCAGGTCAGCATGTGGCGGTCTATCTCTGAGAAACAGGCTGCTAAACCCACTGCTTCTGAAGGATTGACTATGCCTTTGACTCGAACGCCTGTTTCCAACATGCAGGTGCTCCCAGCGTTGGAGATTCATCACAAAGAGTCTAAAGCAATGGGTGTCTAAAGGAATTTGTATATCGACAGCTCCTGGAATGACCTATTGCTGGAAGAGGTCTCCATCTGTGTGAAGTCAACGCTGATTGAGATAAATAAGCTAGCAGAATCGTAGAAACCATACTGTGTGGAAGGGGGCCATTTGGCCCATTGAGTCCAGACTGAGTCTCCGACAAGCGTCCCAGCCAGAGCCACCTTATCCCTGTAACCCCACATTTCCCATGGCTAACCCACCTAGCCTGCACATCCCTGGATACTATGGGCAATTTAGCATGGTCAATCCAACTGACCTGCACATCTTTGGACTGTGGGAGGTAACTGGAGCACCCGGAGGAAACCAATGCAGATGCAGGGAGAATATGCAAACTCCACACAGATAGTTGCCCAAGGGTGAAATTGAACCCTAGTCCCTGGCACTGTGAGGCAGCAGTGCTAACCACTGAGCCACGATGCTACCCCAGCAAGTGAAGTAAGATCAGAGTAGGAATCTGGAGTTAAGGTATGGGGTTCATCATCACAGAATCGAAGAATTTTTATACTGCAGAGGTGGGTATTCAGCCCATCATACCTGCACCAGCTCTATTATCTAACCTGACTATATTATTTCTCTCCAATTCTCCCCATATCCCCTCATATCATTGCTGTCGATTATTGCTATAATAAGACCATAGCAGTTGTAAGCTATTCAGTCACAGAGTCATACAGCATGGAAACAGACCCTTCAGTCCAGTGAGTCCATGGCTATCATAATCCCAAACTAAACTGATCCCACCTGCCTACTCCTGGCCCATATCACTCCAAAGTTTTCCTATTTGTGTACTTATCCAAGTGTCTTTTAAACTTTGTAACTGTGCCCACGTTCACCACCTCCTCAGGAAGTTCATTCCACATGCGAACCATATGTACGACTGGCCCGACAAGCATTGTATATAGTTCCTTGAAAGTGGCGTTACGTGTAGATAGGGTGGTGAGGATGGCATTTGGCATGCTTGCTTTCATTGGTCAGAGCATTGGATTTGGGAATTGGGACATCATGTTGCGATTATACAGGATGTTAGTGAGGCCACTTTTGGAGTACTGCATCCAGCTCTGGTTGCCCTGCTATATTAAATTGAAAAGAGTGTAGAACAGATTTAGAAGGATGTTACTGGGACTTGAGTTGTAAGGAGATCCTGGATAGGCTAGGATTTATTTCCCTGGAGCATTGGAGATTGAGGGGTGAGCTTATAGAGGATTATAAAATCACGAGGTCCATTAATAAGGTGAATAGCAAAGGTCTTTTCCCCAGGGTAGGGAAGCTCAAAACTAGACGGCATAGGTTTAAGGTGAGAGGGGAAAGATTTAAAAGGGACCTTAGTGGCAATGTTTTCATGCACAGGGTGGTGTGTATGTGGAATGAGCTGCCAGAGGAAGTAGTGGAGGCAAGTACAATTACAATCTTTAAAAGGCATCTGAATGGGTATATGAGTAGGAAGGGTTTAGAGGTATGGGCCAAACATAGACAAATGGGACTAGTTTAATCTGGGAAGCCTGGTCGGCATGGATGATTTGGACCAAAGGGCCTGTTTCCTTGCTGTATGACTCCAAACAAATGGCCTGAGGTATATTTGAGGGGTAAATAATAGCCAGGATAGCAGCAAGTTCACCTGCTCTTCATAAAGGAAAGCCATTCAAATGAATGGAAGCAAAGCATTCCAGTCAATCATCTAATCCTAAAGACAGCATCTCTGACAGTACAGCGCTCCTGCAGTACTGCACTGAAATGCTTTCTTAGATTACATGTTCCGTCTCTGGAGCAGGGCTTGAACTTATGCCTTTGGGTTCAATGTTCCTCTTTTTGCAATTGTTTGATCCACAGGGAACATAAGTACAGGTGAATAGCACACATCTATGGGAAGGAGGCCACATGATTTATCATATGGGCTCCGTTGTTCCTTCCTGCTAGATTTTATTGAATTCACACACTTAAATGATCTAATCATCACCAGGACAGCAGCAAATTCTCCGCTGTATTTCCTTGACCAGTTGCATTACTCAGGAGCACAGTTAGAGGCGGCTAGGATTTGTGTGTGTTTTTCTGTCTCTCAGCAAATCTCCTTTTTCACCTGTTCCCAGTTTGCCATGTTATCCTGAATGTCGCAGCTTCTGTCATCGCTGTGTTTGGGCCGAGTATCCTCATCAGAGAAGTAATGAAACAAACCGGTGAGTGCTGTCCGACAAAATTAATTAATGAATTCTGAAAGTAACATCCCATCAGGAGTTGTATCGTTAGGAGAGCTCACTGCTGAGTTATTTTGGCCGGTTTTCATTGAAACCCATCGAACTCCTAAGTTTTCAGTGCCATCTGCCCTTTGTTCAATTGCTTCAAATCTATTGCCCTCTCTCTACGTGGCCATTTCTCACAGTTACCCAGTTTTTCCACCCAGACGCAATGATTCCTATCTCAAACATGCCCTGTGACAAAATATTTCCATGCTTCAAAACCCTTCGTAAATAAGTTCTTCTAACCTTTACTTTCATTCTTGACTGACTTTTCTTTACTGAAAACCCATATTCATTGAAGGAAATATTTTCTGTATTTGTTCTATCCATCTCCTTAGAATGTCTACAAACTTTCTCATCTGTGATTTCCAACTGTCCATTCCTTGACACCTGATGGCCTTTAGTTTCTTCAGTAATTTTCTTCTAATCGCTCCATCAGTTTACTTGTAAAAGATCCCACATTATAATCTAATCTAGAATAAAATAGAACATCCTTTCGATTATCCTTTAACTGATTAAACCCAACACTTCCTCCAAATCACATTCTACTTGAGGGTAGCACGGTGGCTCAGTGGTTAGCACTGCTGCCTCACAACACCAGGGACCAAGGTTCAATCCCACCTTTGGGTGACTGTCTGTGTGGAGTTTGCACATTCTCCCCATGTCCATGTGGGTTTCCTCCCATGATCCAAAGTATGCCAGTTAAGTGGGTTGGCAATGCTAAATTGCCCATAGTGTGTGGGAAGTGCTGGTTAGGTGGTTTAGCCATGGGAAATACAGATAGAGTGCTGGGTGGGCTGCTCTTCAAAGTGTCATTATGGGCTGAAGGGCCTGCTCCCACACTGTAGTGATTCTACTTAATGTGGCTGGCTATAATACATTATGATTGTCTGCAGTGAAGCTTTTAATTGTCATGATTAGAATTTCAATTTAGCTATTGACATGATGATCTCTATTCACAGATAGTGATTGTGGCTCAGCAGCCATACTGCGATCAACTATAATTCCGACTGTGGTGATGACATTGGTTATTCTTGTTGTAACCTTTGTACCCTATAAAATATGTAAGTAATGGTGGGTGAAGTTGTTTCAGATCTACTCTTAATGGACATATATTGTTGTGAGCAGAAGCCTTGACTGGATTTTCCTCTTCATTCTCTCCTGACCATCTGCAGTGCAGATTGGGACATCCCAAACTCCTCACAGGATCCCTACGATGCGGAAACAGGCCATTCAGCCCATTGAGTTCACACCAACTGTTTGAAGAGCATCCCTCCCACACCCTGTTATCCCCGTAACCCTGCATTTCCCATGGTTAATCCGCCTAACCTGCACATCTTTGGACTCTGGGAGGAAACTGGAGCACCCAGACAGGGGGAGAATGTGTAAACTGCACACAGTCACCCAAGGCCGGAATTGAACCCGGGTTCCTGGCACTGTGAGGTAGCACTGCTAAGCACCGAGCCACCATGGCCCATAACCTTCCAACTAATTGATTAGAAACAGATTAGGAATTTACTGAAGTTGCCTAGTTTGTGTCAGGAACACTGAACTAGAGAATCTTGGTCAAGGCTGTTCAGTCATTCTGCATTCACTGGTGGTATTTTGTGAACCGTAGTACTGTCTTCTTTTTAGTACTGCTAGTTTTCTGTGTAATCGATGAGTTTACCTTAACTGCATGACGGTAATGACACCCTGCATTAAACAGATCAAGTGAAGTCACCATAGCCCTTCTGCGCTATCATTAGAGAGAGATGTCTGGTGATGGTTTAACCTGAGGGATCCATACCTCAGGTGAGGGGAGAGGTTGAGAGGAGGTTGAGGGTAACCTCAGCCTGTGTGGGATTCAAACCCATGCTGTTGGTGTCACTGTGCAGCCAACTGAGCTGACCAACCCCACCAGTTCCAAGGAAGGGTCACTGGACCTGAAAGTCTGCTTTCTGTCCACAGATGCTGTTGAGTTTCTAACAGCAACTTCCGTTTTTGTTTCTGATTTCCAGCATCCACAGTTCTTTCCATTTTTATAAAATTCAACCTATATTGTATTGAGGAAAACCCATTTGGACCGATCCAAATTTAATGAAAACCTTTGTTTAGTTAATCTTTACATCGATACAACTGATTGTGCATTCACATCAACAGACATCGAATGGAAAAAACAACCAATTGGAAATCCTCCTGCAAGTACGAGTTTTGGAGATTCTGATCAGCATCAATATACTGTAAGTATTAGACTTTACTAGAAATTAAAAGTTTGACAGGCAACTGCGCCCTGAATCTTTCATAAAAGCAGTGCAAATGCAAGATTCTCTTTTATTTTGCCATTTGCTTGGAGAGTCGAAAAAACCAGAATAACTATTGAGCTTACTAGGAACAGAGGTGTTTGATTCTAGGGATGTACAGATTACAAGAATTATCCCTCATAAACTATCCTCTCCATTAAGTGTTTAAAAGGAAAATCAAACCCTTGAGGCAAAGGGTACAAAGTGCAAACAATTAATTTTATATACAAGCATTTAATACTGGAAAAACATATTGCCAATTTTCCTTTCTGAATTGCAGTAGATGATCTCTTGAAAATAATGTAAATTTTCAAAAATAAAGGAAGAGGTGCTGTATTGAGATGGTTTGAAATGCTGTATTAAAACACCTGTATTGCAGTATGGTCCATAGTGAATATGTTTATTAATGTTAGATAGGGCAAACATTACTCCTTCTTAAAATATAACCTTGACAAATATATGTGGTTCACATCTCAAGGGGAAAAGAGCTCAGCTTAATTCTTCGATATAAAAAAATCAAACAAAATTCATGTGAAGAAGTTGGACCGGTAACTGATTTTACGTTTTTATGTGCTTAAGTAAACAAAAACGGTGTTCACAGACTTTAAATAAGTTTACTTTTAACTTGCTGTAGGAGCTGAAGAAAACACCCTCAAGTCCAGGACACACAGCTACCACTGAACGGGTGACTCAGGGATCACTGCTACCTGAGAAGAACAACATTAAACCTTGCGATTAAAGCACTACGTGAAATTTGTACTGTAAATACTGAGAAACTGAATTACTTGCAGCTCGTTTCAGGAAGGAAATCTGTATGTTTCCTTGGTCTGACCTAAATGTGACTCCAGACTGAGTCTGGACAATGTCTTGTTTTCATCAAGTCATCGAACAAGTGTGGACTCCAGCTAAAGCCTAACATTTCAAGAGCTTTCAAATTGCCAATTCTTGTTTGAATTTTTTGTACTGGATACTTCTTTTAATACTTTATACCTGTACTTGTGTGTGTTTCATGTCACATTTTATTATTTTTCTCTGGATTACTAGGTAATAAAATTCTTCATTCTGCCTATCAGGAAGAATTTAGAATTGGCGCCTACATTTTGATTTAGTAAACTATGTTTTAATTTAAGTATGACATAGTTTTGTGCTAAAAAGAATTTAAAATCTATGTTGTGGTTGACTGAAGGGGTTAAAAAGAAGGGGAGGTAATTCGCCCGATTGAAGCAAAATATCAATCTCTGATCGTTCTGGTTAGGAACGCTTGGTAGGCCATTCAGCCCATCATGCCTGCTTCTCTCCACCATTCAATTAGATCATCACTGATCACCTACCTCAGTGCCACTTTCCTGCACTATCTCTATATCCCTTTATGCCATTAGCCTCCAGAAATCCATCGATTTCTCTCCAGAAAGCGCTCAATGATTGATCTTCTGCAGGGGTGAGAGAATCACAAAGATTCCCAGCCCTTAGAATTGAAGAAATTTCTCCTCCTATCAGTCTCAAATAGATTACCTCTTTGTTATTCTCTCCATTCCTGTTAGACTCACCAGTCAGGGAAAACATCTGTCAAGTACTATAAGGATTCTGTAAGTTTTCATGAGATCACCTCTTAGCCTTTGAAACCCAATGGAATACAGATCCGACTTCCTCTGCCTTATCTCAAAAGCCAATGCCATTTTCTAGCGATTGATTTGGTCAACCTCTGTTGTGCTCTCTCTTCCTCTTTGATAGTTATTGCCTTGCTTAGATAAGGAGACCCACACTGTACACAATACTCCAAAAGCGTTCTTACCAAGGATTTTTCAGAAGGCAATTGGAATGTTATCCTTTATTCTGAGAGGAATTAAATGTAAAAGTAAGGATGAGGGTGAGGGGAGGGGTGAGTCGAAGAGATGGTAAAGGTATGCAAAAGAAAATCCAGGATCCACGCATCTTGGTCAAAGGCACCAAAGCCTCATCCTGCTCCACGGATAGCAGACTCACACCCACACTCACTGACATCTGACTCGTGCCTGCCTCTCTGCATCAACATGGTACATCGCCAATCCATTGACAACACACTTCTGCACTGTCTAGCTGCACTTTGGGGCACACTGGCACTTATTATTGCAAGGATACTGCATGCACAAGGCGGACAATTGGATTGGACTCGACTGCATCTCTCAATTGTTTGCACGCTCTCAGCGCTCACTCACTTTGTTTGCCTTGATGTTCACTTCATTCCTGCATTTGACTTTTTAGCGCAGTCACAATGCCAGGCAGTTGGTCATCATGTCAGGTAGTCATCCGTTAAGGAGGTGTGGATACGTTACTGGGCATCGCGCTCCCATATTTCATACCTACACCATGTGCCAACAGCCTGTGTGGCAAACACATGGCATGTCTATCCACCAAATGGCCCTGGCTCAAAGTCGGAGGGGAGTTACGATCAGTGATGTCAAGGGAGACATCTTTCAGTCAGGGGGGTTCCGAAACATCAAGCAAGTCAAGGGGTAGCGTCTGATATCAGTCCAGAGGCTTGGGGATGATCCATCCGCTGCTCTGCGTGGTTAGGGCAACAATCCTCTCCATATTGGTCACAAGGAGCCAAATCTCGGGCAGCCCACCATCCGTCTCGGCTCTTTCTACCCTGTTGTGGGCTGTTTTCCTGAGGAATGAGAGAAAGGGAGGGAATGAATTCAATAAAAGTGGGTGGCAGAGCTGTTATTCTTGGTGCAGGTGGGGAAAGGTAGGTAGAAGGTATTCAGGGTGAGTGACATAGGAGGCTTGGGGTGGGTGAGACAAAGTGAGGGGCGATCTTACATGTAACAATGAGAGGCATTAGAGCACAAGTTGAGGTGGAAGGTGTGCGCAGCAGCACATACAGAGCAGGTGAGAGGTGCCAGAGAGAATATGGGGACACTTACCCTAACAGAGCAGAGAAGGACAACCTCAGAGAATACAGGAAGGGTCTGATGGTGTGGCCTTCTCTAGTGCTCCTGGGGGAGGAAGAAGTCCCTCCTGTGCAAAATTCCATCTCCCGGCACTTCCAGGTCACTGCCCACAACGTGGGACATTAATTGTTTTGTCCAGGGCAAATATTACAAGCACAATGTACAGGACAGTTCTGGACCCAGTGCTCGACCGGGTGCACAGTGGCCTTTTTCTGCACCCAGGGTATCCAGAGATATTCCAGAAATGGTGAGTAGTTCTGGTTACATGAAGAGGAAGAATCAGGCTAGCATCGGATGAGAGAGTTGCCATAGATGTGGTGTCGGTCATCAATCAGGTGAGTTTGGGATGAAAATAAAACCTGCTAGGCCTCATGGAGAGACAACCTCCATGAAACTTGATGAAATTGACGCTCAGGCAAAATATTGTAAGATCCCTTATGTGTTCTTAGACTTGCACTTGCCCAGGCAAATGGAGAGTATTCCATCATATTCCTGGTTTGTAGATGGTGCACGGGCTTTGGGGAGACAGAATATGAGTTACTCACCACAGAACACCCAGCCTCCAACCTGCTCTTGTAGCAATAGGATTTATATGGCTGGCCCAGTTCAATGTCTGGTCGTAGGTAACCTTCAGCATGTTGATCATGAAGGAAGTCAGCAATGGGAGTGTCAATGAATGTCAAGACTGATGGTTAGATTCTCTCTTGTTGGAGATGGTCATTGCCTGGAACTGTGTGTCACAAATATTATTTAAACACTTTATCAGCCCCCACCCAAATGTAGTCCAGACCTTGCTGGACTGGTTCAGCATCTGAGGAGTTGTGACAGTTCTGAATATTGTGCAATCTTCGGTGACCATGATGGGATGCATGGTCATTGACAAGCAGCTGAAGATGGTTGGACCCAGGACACTACCCTGGTGAACTCCTGAAAGATACCTAAGATCTGTGATGATTGACCTCAAACAACCACAACGATCTTCCTTTGTGCCAGGCATGATTCCAACCAACATAGAATCTTGATCCCATTCCCTCCTGTTTCACCGAAGGTCCTTGATGGCACTCTGGGTTGAATGCTAACTTCATGTCAAGAGCAGATGTTCTCACCTTACGTCTGGCAGAAAGGTATTTTTGACAATGTTTGGACTAAGGCTGTAATGAGGTCAGGAGCTAAGTGGCCCCAACTGTATCCAAACTGTCAGTTATTCCTTTACTGCTGCTGCTTCACAGCACTGTCAGCTAACGTTTCCATCAATTTCTCGATGATTAAGAGGAGAAAAATACATTGCAATTGGCCATATTGGATTTATACTACCTTTTCTGCACAGGGCACAACTGGGTAAATTTTCCACATTTTCAGGTTAATGCCTGTGTTATTTTCACCCTGGAATGTGCAAAGCTGTGTGACAGATGAGCCCAATGAGGAAGAAACATAAAGTTAGAATGAAACTGAACCATTAGCTTCCTGGTGAGGTGTATACACCTGGTTGTCTTTGACTTTCTTTGTTCTTCTATACAATCACACATGACTGGCTCCGTGATTATTATATGCATAAGCACAAAGACTGACAAAGTATCACACTGTTTTCAGCAAACAGATGGCATCAGGAATAAGAGAACAGAAGGTAGTGCCGAGAGTGAAAACTATAGAACCCCTACAGTGTGGAAACAGGCCCTTCTGCCCAACAAGTCCACACTAACCCTCAGAGTATTGCACCCAGACCCCATCCCCCTGTAACCCATTTAATCTACACATCCCTGAACAGTACGGGTAATTTAGCATGGCCAATCCACCTAGCTTGCACATCTTTGAACTGAGGAAGGAAACCAGAGCACCCAGAGGAAACCCACGCAGACACAGGGAGAATGTGCAAACTCCACACAGACAGTCACCTGAGAGTGGAATCAAACCCGGGTCCCTGGCGCTGTGAGGGCAGCAGTGCTAACCACTGAACCACCGTGCCGCTCAAATAGCTTCAGGTTCTATAAATTTGGAGAAAAATAACACTCTGTGTGACTGTCTGTACATTTAACTATGGCTGTGTATATCCCAAGGTGTAACTGTGTCATTATGTATATATGGATGTGAGTCCATGAACATGTAGATATGAGTTTGCATGATAGTCTGTGTGTGTGAATGTGAATCTGTGGGTTGCAGGCAGGAATATGAGTCTTTCTGTGCACAAATAGAGGCAAAACTCTTTGTGTAAATAACATTATAGTGTGAATCCGCCTATCTGCAATGGTTACAACATCAGGAAAAGCACACTGTAATCACTGAGGGGTCATAGAGTCAGCATAGGAGAGATGAGAGAATGTGGGAGATCTGACGGCCTGGGATTTGGAGGATCTGAGGGAGCATGAGACATATGAGGGGGAATGGGAGCTATGAGAGAACATGAGAAATATTAGGGTTATAGAGAATGAAAACGAATGGCATATATGAGGAGGAGAGAGATAGCAGGAACTGCAGATGCTGGAGAATCTGAGATAACAAGGTGTAGAGCTGGATGAACACAG